AGTCGTAAAACGGCATGTTAATCGAACATTCGCGCCTGGTAAACTATTTATAGTCTCGATTGTGACACGCGTTTCGCGTATCAATTCAGGTAAGTAGGTACCCTTTACGACGTCATCGGAGAATGCTAAGTCTTAATGTTTAAGATATGTGCGCCACACAGGGCGAAACCGTGGAACCGATCGCACTTAACCCTTTGTGCACGAAGATCTTTCGAAGTATTCGAAACCCTTTCTAGAAGTAACTGAATCGCACAGGGTGTCACAGTTTTTCGGTTTTGATTTCGCTTTTGTGAAGAATGATTTACTGTATCGATTAAAGAAAAAAAATGGTATCATTACTTTTGGAAAATAGTAGTGACCTTTATACCTCCTACAATCATTCATCTAGAGATAAACTAATTGTACCGAATCACTGTTCACTCGAAACAGGAACAACTGCATTAAAGATATTTTTTAAATGACGAACAGTTCTAGGGATGATTGTATTTATAGATTAAAATGGGACACCCTGTATATCGAGTTCTGAAATATCTTGAAACAGAGGACTTCGTACTGATCTCTTGTTATTTGAATAATGAAAATATTCGTTTTCAACTTTTTCTACTCTGGAAGAAAGCTTACATCATAGAATGTTCCTCTAGGTTTTCAATTTATTTCACTCAGTTCGGACCAAAATTACACTCAAGCGTATTAGACAAATTTTCGAATTCGATGTTCTCGAAAAGAAAGTCCTACATGAAGAAACTTAATTGTTTAAATTTATTTTTTCATGTAAATTCATCATCTCTCGGATTGTACCGCCAGATCGGTGACACTCTGTACTGTGTTTGCAATTTTACTAAACCCTTTGCATTCGAAAATTATTCACTAGAAATATTCGAAGGTTTCCATGAGATGTAGACGATATTCTTTGAAACTAATTAATGAGAAAATGTATAGAAATTAAGAAACAAAGCTATTTCGTTTCAATATTTCACATAACTATGCATTACACAAAGTTTAATATTATATATGGAACTTTATAATTTTACTATATCAAATCAAGTGGTCACTGACAGAATGCAAAGGGTTGATTTACTCGTATTTCTTTGTTTATCCACATATGATTTCAAAAAATATTGGAATTTAAAATATCAATACTTATGAATAAAGAATCGCTTGAATGATAAAAAGACGAACAAAAGTTTATGCGAGGCAAACGTGACCCGGGCATTGAGGAATTTCTAAACCGTCAGTACTTTAACCCCTTTAGATCTGATATTTCTACAAAATTCAGTTCACTTACTTAACCCCTTGGCGTATAATAACGAGCAAGATTCGTACTAAAGATTTCTAGATTAATTTAATAAAAATCAATGTTGTTCATTGCGCATGGGTCAAAGTGGAAAACTATTTTTCTAATATCAATTCATTATCCACAAAGTAAATTTGCGCCTACAATGAAATGAAAAATTTCTTTATATTTCTGGCAAATTATTGATAGTAAAAAGTTATACGATCTTAGCAGCAAAAGAAAATACGACAGGAGTTTGACCCTTTGTGAACGAGAATTTATTACAGTTATAAAAACCTTTTTCATAAAGAAGCTGTATTACGCATCGAAGTTTTAACACTAGAACTGCCGTACCAGTAAAAATGACTGATAAAGCATTGAATATTCAAAATGATTACGAAAATAAATAGTTTCACTGAATACTACAACGAATATCTGAAGAAACTGAAAATAATCTATTGTTGCAATTTATACATTGTACAATGTACATTTCATACAACGAATTAAGCTGTAATTAAACTGAAATTGTAATTCCTCAGTTTTACCAAATTAAATAATCCCAAAAAACGAATATATTAATCACTTACATTTATAATTATCACCATGGCGCGTGTGAGATTAAAAAGATTAAAGAAGTACATATGCGCCCACAACACTCAAAGGGTTATACACTAGAAAAAAGAAAATTACTTGTCAGTCTCTCGTTATCTGAAAATTAACCAATTAACTGAATTTAACGAGTACACACGTCATCAGAAAGCTTGAAATTACACTAATTCTTTCAACGATGAATTATTTATTTTTCCAGATAAACGTGTAATTCTTCTTTGTTTTGCTTTGGTTTTTCATTAAAACACACCCTAGGTGTATTCGCCCAATATTTAACAAGTACACACTTCCTTTTTTCATTTTATTGCGCGAAAAAGAGAGATTTTCCAAACGAAATTCCACAGTTAATAGGTTAACCCTAAATCTACTAAACTGATTTCTTCCTTCAGCAATTATTGAAGAAATTGGTTTAACAATACGCAAACTACATTGTAAATCAATTAAAGTCTCAATAGACACAATCTTGGATATTCTGTAAAAAAATTTCAAAAAGTCAGTTTAACTGCTCGGTAATTTCAGTGTGCAATTATTTGTTCGCAGCTTTCGAATTTAGATATCAAAGCTCGAAGTCTCAATTACACCGACATTCGTCCGCAAAGGGTTAACATTCCGTCAGATATTCAAGTAGTAAAACAGTGTAGCTACATTGCAACGCACGCCAGCTCTGAAGGGGTTAATAAACGCCGAACGAGGCGTAATAGCTATAATTAAAGAATTCTTCCCTGCAGGTTTTTTGGAAATCGAACGAGCCGATAATCATTTCGATTTCATACCACGGTTCACCGTGCCTGCCCACGTGCATGCATGTTTACCCTCGCCGTAGAATGCATTTAAAGGAATAATAAATCTGCGCGAACGCTGCGCTACGAGCGGCCATTGCGACGTTCCGTTCGGGATATAGAAATAATACATACGTTCGCGTCTTTCACATTTACAGCCGCGCGAAATTTATAAACCTAATCAGTCTACTTTAACGACGCATTCGAAATCACGTGAAACGATTTTCAAATTAGATTAGTATTGCACTTCCTGTTTTCACCCGACGGAAAAGTGCACACGTAACGTTGAACTACAGTCGCACGTTCCGAACAGAGAATGCTGGTTTCGAAACTGTACAATTTTCTTGAAACGTGTCGATCTACGGAATAGAAACGAACGCGAGGCAAAAAGTTCTCTTTCCTTTATACGGGGATCTTAGAAATCAAGAATTCACGTTTTCATTCTACACGCGATTTCAATTCTCGGATGGAATAAGTTACTAGCGTTGTAACGTGTACTTTACAATAAGGCATCTTTTCGAATCCTGTATTTACATTATAGGTTGCTGCAACAGTTTCGGGAATCTTTTAACACTTTATTCGATTTTAGTGAGGCTTCACAGATTTTAACACTAAAACTACCGGGCGGGTTAAATCGACCCACTTCAGAATGTTCATTTTGCAAGTATTTAAATTACAAAGATGTTTCTGCGAATGATTTTCAATTGAATTCGTGTATTTGTACAAAACTAGGAGATCCTTCGAATCTAAAGGAACGTATTGTTCTAATTTTTAATAAGAAATTCGAAGTAAGTCATTCTAATTGCTCGGTAGTTTTAGTGTTAAGGGTAGCAAGTACCGACACGACGCAATTGAAAATATATTAATGTCGAAGGAGAATATCAATGTTAATAATATTGATGTTTCTTCTTTATTTGAAGAAAACGCAGAGTTTTAAATCATATCTTAAAACCGGTCATTTAACCGTTTAGTGTTAATCAGTTTCTGAATTTTTGTCTTCTCCTTTGTTTCCATTTCCGCTAAGAAAAATTTGTCGTCGGACTTGTTTATCTTTATTTCGTAGCCAGTTATTGGACTAACTGCGATAGGAATAGGTACCTAAATATAGGACGAAGTGCCGGTACAGTTAGTGTTAACCCTTTGCGGTCGAATGACTTCAAGCTTCAATATTCAAAATCGATAACAGCGAAAGTATAATTTAGTTATTCATGTAACGAGAGAGTGGCATGTGTTTTTTTTAATATTTAAAACTTCAATGTATTGCATAATTTTATTAAAAGAAATGTTAGAAACTTGAGATAGTCTCGTCCACAAAGGGTTAATAGAAAATTGTCAACCGTTAAGGGTTAATATTGATAGAGAATATTTTGAGAAACAACGAAACCATTAGTTCGAACTTATTTGTTACTTTCCTCAGTTTCCCGAAACTTTTGCAACAACTACATAGTAGGAAGTGTCTCTTAACAGTGTAACTATCTTTAACAATGTCTGATTTTGTTTATAGAGTATAATGATCGTGTATCCCGTCGTCAACAACAGTATCATTAAGAAAGAGTAACGCTTCTTTACAAATTCGAATGTGTGAAGCCTCTAATTTTTATATTTGTTTACAGAAAGTTAAGGCACGCGATTTTAGTATTAGAGGCACTGGCAGTTAATTAAATATTATATATATATTCAACCATAGAAAGTTAACTTTCTTTTTATATTCAAGTAATTCACAGTGTACACACCTTCTCTACACGTTTCGTCGTTCCCTTTGAACGAGAAAATTAGTTTAAGAGGCTCTAACAACTATTTCACCTTCGATAGGTATTTAAACACTACCTCTAACAAGAACCTAAAAGTTTCAAATAACAATAGAATAAAATAATCAGTATTTTATATACATATTTGCAAATAGATCGGATTAAGCTCACTGATCTGAACTTAAAGCAGAATATTTGAATCCTTCTACCACCCTTCGCAACCATCGAAACTTCACTCGATGTTACGTGGTCGAATAGCTTCCGCTATCCATACAAATATTATCGAACTTTCTTTCCATATATTACATAGAATGATATACAAATAAATTGTATACTTGTTAAAAGTACATTGTATATAAACCTCAGTTTCGAGTAACTTTCGTAGTACACTGTTATTTCTGATTCATTGAGAATCCTGATCGTTGAAGAATGAATAAGGCACTTCGACGAATTATTGTACGCATCGTTAATCTTCTTTTGTCGTTTTAGTTCGGTTCAATTTTATCTTGTGCCCAGTTTTGCAATGAACACGGATAAGACATTTCGAGCGGGAGCTCCGAATTTGACTATTACAACGGTAAACCCTGGAATTTAGTGAACTCGACCACAGACCTGTGACTCTATTCCACCTAAATAAGGATAGCCGCTTTTGGCCTCGCTCGGACTGTGCGGCGTAACATGGTGGCTGATCCCGGCAGGAGTTGGTACTCCTGAAGTCGCGCTCTGAGCCATGCACGCGCTCATATTCGACGCGGTGGAACCGACACTGCCACCCAGGCTACTCAAGTTCAGATTGTTCGATGTTAGATTCGATGCCAGGTTGCTGCTGCTGTAATGAGAAGCGTTGAATAATCTGAAACAGAGAAATGAAGGGACATCTGAATACACCGGTGTATAATTTATTGGAATTGGACGAAATGTAATTTGATTAACTAATGAACTATTCGCTTCTTTTCGTGATTATACAAAAACGTACGTGGTATGAAATTAATAAACGTTAACTTGTGAATAAAGTATTATGTATTCAATAGTTTTAATACTTGTATGGAAATGAGTATATCCTGTGGTTTTTAAATTACAATGACGTTGAACTTTCGTATGAAAGACGAATGAACGTTTAAGTTAATGGATTACTTAATTTTATTGGCCACTTTGCTGTGCAAAATGAAACAAATCAACGAGTTGGCAATGTATTAGCTACAGTGGCCTACAGATGGTTGACACGTTGACCGTCGCGAAAAACTTCAGCGTTTTATTGCCACTTTTTATAATCATTTGAAGAATGATAGGTTTGTAATTATTTGTCGGTTTAATTAAATTTTGTGTATTCTAGTTTGTATCGTACCATTTACATATTCACTGCATGGTTATTTAATCACGTTTCTGTTTCGAAGAAGTAACATCCGGGCAATTAATTTCTTCATTGCTTATATTGGTCTAGACAAGACAGAGGACTGCATTAAAGTGACGCAGTCATCGTAAAATGACAGCGGAAAAAGGTAGAAACCATCCGCACGCAACAGAAAATGAAGCAGTATTCGAAGGCACCGGATGTGCCTTTATTTCCTCGAGGAAATGAATTTACATTACTTAAATAACGCAATCGCTTAATCTAACGCCATTAGAATACACGAAATATATGCAATAGCGATTAAATAGCAACATTATGTGTAATGTATTGTAATACATATATTATACATGAAAAATATGTGAAATGTTTATAGTATATCTATATATCTATATATAGTGCGTTACTGTCATGATCCCAGCCAGCCAGAGGTTTAAAAGTGTAGAGGGACAAGGAGAGACGTCCACTCGCGGCGCTCGGTTTGATAGTAATGGCGGAATTAGTTTCGGCACGTCATTGTTACTGGCTGAGCCGCGAACTTAGGTGGAGCGTGCTGCCAAATACTCTTGTCTCTCTTCGCTTTTGAGCCACAGACCGGCTGAGATCATGTCAGTAACGCACTGTATCCGCATATCTACATATCTATATATCTATATATCTATATATCTATATATCTATATATCTATATTTCTATATATCTATATATCTATATATCTATATATCTATATATCTCTATATCTGTATATCTGTATATCTGTATATCTGTATATCTGTATATCTGTATATCTATATATCTATAAACATTTCACATATTTTTAAAATGCAATGCACATACATATATATATAATAAATACTTGCTTAACATTAAAACTATCAAATGGATCAAAATTCCTCACTTTGAGTTTCAACTTTTACAATTGGACACTGAACTCGCACAAATACTCTTCTGACAAATGAAGTGCCGCTTGTCTCATAATATCGAATTAGACTTGAGGAGAAAATACTAAATAGAACTTGTGAAATACATTTTTCAGCTCGTACCGGTTAAAGGGAAATATTACCTAAACATAATTTCTTTTCGAACCTAGTAATGAAATAAATAAATAGAGCAATGGGTTAAACTATTTAATTTACTAATACACATTCTAAAATGTATGTCAATTGAAATCTCACTAAATAATTATATCTTGTATAATTGTTTCGATGGTAAAGTCATAACATTTCCAGCCTAATAATAACTAAACTAAGCAGTGTGATTCAACGTTATCTGTTAAGAATGTCGATCTTTTCCGCCATTAATACTATCATCAGAAATTTCGTTAACTAATAGTTAAAAGAGTCGTAAAATTAAGAATTCCCATCTGAAAGGAGAAGAATTCCTGCGAGCGTTTGCTCCTTTAGTTATGTGTGAAAATAATTGTATAATTACTGGTATGAAATCATCGTTGCCCTAACATCAGGAATGGATTTTATATTTTTAGCAAAAACATTTTCATTCCTCGGAATTTCATATCTGGTATACCAACTCGTAATTTATAGACATCTATATTAATTCAGAATTCTGGATATGAATTCAGAATACTAAAAACTGAACATAGTTCTATTTCTATTATTATATAGGAGTTTCATTGTGTCTAAAATAAAATACATACACTACCAAGTTATATTAAAGTCATTATTTTACTACGTGCTTGTCAATCGAATGTTATGCACAATGTCCTTGAGATAACATAAATGGGCGGAAAAAAACATGTTAAAAATACGCATCAATATATAAAATATTTAAACAAAATAATTTTGTTCCCAAAATTATGTGCAATTTATCGTTGATTTCAGAGCATGTCGATCGTATCTCATTAAATAATGTTGAGTATTTCCATTGAAACACTTCTTGGGTACAAAGGGTTAACGCTGCGATGAAAAAATGATTTTTAACACGTTGACCCTCACGAGAATTTTCAGCGTTTTGTATAATATCATTTGTTCTTTCGTGACGAAGGCAATTGAGATTGATTATTAACACTAAAACTACCAGACAGGTCAAAATGAACCACACCTGATTCCTTTTTTTGCAATTATTAAACAAATAACAGATGATTCTTTGAGAATTCATTAAAGTAACTAAATGCAAATTAATTCAAGTCCCAATAGATACACTCTTGGAGTTTTTATAGAGGAATTTCAAAAAGTCAATGTGACTGCTCGGTAGTTTTAGTGTTAATCGTTTGGTATCATAGTTCTTGAGTTACGCTATTATTTAGCACTAAAACTACAAGACGGGACAAAATGACCGATTCCTGGTATCTTCTTTTTGCAATTATTAAGCAATTAACTGCGTTTGACGAGTACTTATACAAGGCATCTTAAAACTCTAAACGGTACTAACTTTTTCAATGACGGGCTATTTGTATTTGTAGACAAACATGTGTCTTCTTCGTTTTGCTTTGGTTTTCCATTAAAATACACCCTAAGTGCATTTATACTTCATTTATTACACTTCATTTTTTCAGTTTATTTTGCGCGAAACGAGAGATTTTTTAAACTAAATTCCAGAGTTAACAGGCTAAAAGGATGGCAGATGTTTCTCTCGCTAAACATCTCACAGCATTCGCGAACGATCGCGCGCGAATCGAGAGATTTTTTAAACTAAATTCCAGAGTTAACAGGTTAAAAAGATGGCAGATGTTTCTCTCGGTAAACATCTCACTGCATTCGCGAACGATCTCGAGCAAAAGAGTTGAGCCTCTTAAAAAATTCGCGCAACGACGACGATCCTCATAGCTGTTCATTCGGATCCCACTGCCCGCTGAATCCACCATTACTCTTGCGATCGAAATATTTGTACCGTTGCAATCGAAATTCCCGCGGCAGATTAAAATTTCCCACAACTCAGACTGCATATCGGTATAAAAGTATAAAAACACCCGCGCGACGCCGCCACAGTGGTGCCTTTCGACGAAAACCTAGCTACAATTCACAATTTCATAGGATTTTCATAAAAACTGGCACCTTATATTTTTCGACTTGCTAAATCTGATTATTATATAAAAAATGAAAGATACAAAACGACGGATCTAACCTGACAGTTGTAAACATAATTTTTAAGTAAATGTTCGTAGAAATTTGTTTTGTAATGTTTGACAAAATTTACGCGATTAAAATATTGAATTTAATAAGATGGTGAATCATTGAGCTGGCTGCTCTAAAACGAGACTTTGTCAAGTTACGTAAAGTTGTATTTGTGATTTGCAGCAAAATTTCTATATTTCATATTCAATTGTTACAAATATATTAACTTTACTAATGCCAGAGATAATCAATATGATTTAATGTGACAGACAGTAGGCAACCCTCTTTAGCACTTTAAATTTAAATATCTCCAAATACTGCAAATTTGTGCAAATTTTCTCAACATGATATACTAAAAATCACTCAAGATCAAGAAACTTAACCCAGCATGACACCCGGTAACACCTTCGCTTTCCTTCCGGTTCATGAGAACACGACTAAGATTTATGGTACATTCAAAAAGAAACTACAACGGTAACTTCAAAGATCTTTTACGTAATTTTTATCTCTAGTTCATGCTTGTATCCTCTCTTTCAATGGTCAACTATTCTAAACAAGAAATTCATTCAATTCTCCTTGGCACATTGAAGATGCTCCAATTTTCAAGTCATCAAGATACTTCAAATTTCGTCAACTTCGACGGTCTACACCTCAATAACCATTGAATATATTAAAAAGATTTAAGCAATATTAGACTGAAATATATATAATAAATCCACATGAGAAGAAAACACCGCAGCTTGAAAAATTTTGGCCAGCTCTTCGCCGAGGGGCACCACTGTGCGCCAGGGCCCTGACCGCGCGTTCCGATATTGTCATCGGCGCGTAACAGTTAATAAGTATTCAACTGAAACATTCGGTAGCCCCTTAGAGATCGCCAACGTCGAAAGTTACAAATTTCTGGCGATTTTACACCGAATATAAAGCAGGTCGGCGATGTTACGCTCCCCCGAGCCGGAGCGACAATATTAAAATATTAACGCCGGGCAATTTTACCTCCATAACCACGAGATGAAATTCCCTTTTCGTTTCGTGAGTCTCAAAGTAACCGCCGACAACTTCTCTCTCGTTTTGCCGTGCAATCAAAGTTCACTGCTCGTTTGCAAGCCGATACTGTACGCACACGGACACGCGAGAAACTTTCACGCTCGTACACATACACACACGAATCGTTTAGGGCGTGTCGGGGCTGCCAACAACCGATTTCAAAACGGAGTAGCGGTCCTTTTGACCGTTTCGGCACAGCAGCCACGGTTAAGAACCCCGAAGCGTACCAATGCTGAAACCATTTAATTCCTCTCTTCCTCTTTTCTTTCTTTCTTTCTTTCCTTCTTTCTTTCTTTCTTTCTTTCTTCCTTTCCTTCTACTTTTTTTGTCTTTTCTTCCTCCCGCCGACCTTTCTCGTCGTCTCTTAATTTCTTTTTACAAACGAGTGC